TCCTTCCTCCTTTCACACAGGACTGAGCATTCCTCTTGATACACATATCTCTATTAGGTTACCAGAATTGTTCATTTATATATTCCTTTTCTCCACTAAGTTGTAACTCATTTTTAAAAATTAATTTTAATTAAAGTTTATGGAGACTTTGGATTTCCATTAATTCATTGTTGTACTTTTCTCCCTGCCCACCCCTTTCCCCAGTACAGTCTTCTCTTTGAAAAGTAAAATTCTTTCATTGTTATACAACCCCTCCCCGCAAGTCCACTCCACTGTGCTACCTTCATTCTGACATCCTGTCATGACAAGACTACCTAATCATATATCCCTTTTAAATAGTTCTCTCCCTCATCTGTTTCAATGCAGTATGTATGTATGTATGTATTTATCCATCCCCTTTCTTGGTCTCCCCCCAACCCCTACATCAGTCCTCTTTTATAACAGTGGCATTATGCAGTATTTGTCTTTTTGTAACTGAGATATTTCACTCAGCATAATATCCTCCAGGATCACCAATTTTGTATATTTCATGAGTTTCTTATTTTTAAATGCAGCATAGTATTCCATTGTGTGGATATACCACAGCTACTCTATCCATTCGTTTGTTAATGGGCACTTGGGTTGTTTCCAACTCTTTGCTATTGTGAACAAAGCCACAATAAACATAAGGGTGCATTTATCTGCTTGTGTGGCAGTTACGGTTTCTTTAGGATATATTCCCAGTAGTGGAATTGCTGGGTCAAATGGTATTTCTATTTGAACTTTTTGAGAAAGCACCATAGAGCCTTCCACAGTGGTTCCGCCATTTTACACTCCCACCAACAATGAATAAGAGTTCCAGTTTCTCCGCAAACTCGCCAGCATTTGTTATTGTGTTCACATTGCTGCACACTTTAAAATTGACACCGTGCTTAGAAACACATTTTTCTGTTGTCGTTTGTGACATGTTAAATTTTGCTATTCTTACTGGAGTGAGATAATATCACATAGTTGTTTTGATTTGCATCTCTCTTAGAGGTAGGGATTTCAAACATTTCTTCATGTTATATTATTTTTTTTTATTTTATACTGATTTACTGACAAAGTTCATATACATTGTTTTTCACACTGGATCTTTCCCATTTCTTTTACCCACCCCTCCCTCTACCCATCAAATTGTGCAACCCTATGATTTTCTCCCCTGCCCATCCTCACCCCTCTGCTCCTACCCTCCCCCCCATGGATCCTTGTCCATATTTTACTAGTTATCTATTTCTACAATAATGGTCTTATACAGTATTTGTCCTTATGGGACTCAGTTCACTTAACAGAATGCTCTCTAGTCCCTCCCAAGTTAGGTAGTGATTTTAAAAATCATTGTTCCTGCATGCTGTGTAGTATTCCATAGTGTGAATGTACCATAATTTCTCAATCCATTCGTTTGTGGTTGGACATTTGAGCTGTTTCCATGTTCTTACGATGGTGAATAATGCTACTATAAACATTGGTGTACAAATATCCATTTGTGCTTCAGTTATGATTTTCTTGGGGTATATTCCAAACAGTAGAATAGCTGGGTAATACAGAATTTATCATATATTTCTTAAGTATTTTCTATTACACAGCACAGTGGTTTTGACCCAAAACCCAAACTCATACTGGACCTATTGCTTTTGTGACCCTTATTTATCTACACAATCTTCTCTGTGCTGTTGTTTCCACATCTGCAGAAGAAATGTTAAATAATAGTGCAAGGTATGCTCATGCAGAGTGGCTGGTACAAGCCAAAGATGAGAAATATGTCAGTTATAAATATTAACAACATGACAGTGTTTAGGCACTCTGGTAGGTGCTGACTATGTAACTGTCAACACAAAAAGGTTCCTTTTTACTAGATCTCTACCATAGACACATCCAGGAAGCTCTGGTGGTGTACTCCACAGCCAGCTGCTTTGCTAACCCAAAAAGTGGTGCATATCCAGTGGTCTGAATCCACCAGCAGCTCCAGGATAGAAGGATGGGCGGTCTCCTCCCACTGCGATTTACAGCATTGGAAATTTGATGTTCAGCTATCAATTGGTTCTGACTCTACAGCAGTTAATTTAGTTGAGTTTTCTACCTGATACAGTGGCTTCAACTATGTGCTCAAGTTTAGCAGTGGTTATGAGAACAGGACAGGACTGGGCAGTTACATCCTGTTGGACACAGGGGCACTAGGAGTTGGAGCTGACTCAATAGTGCTTAACAATAATCTTTAAGGAAGCAGATTGCCACATCTCTCCCCACAGGAGTGGCCTAGGGGTTCCCACTGCCAATCTCTGGCTAGTAGCTGAGGACTTAACCACTGCACCACCACAGCTCCTCTATTACGGTCGAGGTGCTCAAATTCTCATGGTGCCACATAGAGAGAAAGACGGGTCTTGTTTCCATTAGGAAACTCTATACAAGAGATACAACTTTAATACAACCCATCATTTACTATTATAAAAAATATTTTGGGGGGAAACCACACCACTTTCTGTTTATGGTGGCTGTTGTTAGGTGCTGTTGAGTTTGACTCATGGCGGCCCTATGAACAACAGATCTGAGCCCTATCCTCTCCTGTGCCACCTCACTCTCTGACACACTCAAGCCCACTGTTGCAGTCACTGGGTCAATCCACCTGGCAGAAGGGCTTCCTCTCCTTTGCTGTCCTCCAGCTTTCCAAGCATGATGTCCCTCTTCATGGAATAGCGTGTCCTAGCAACAGGCCTAAAGAATGTAAGACAAAGCTTCATCATCTTTGCCTCCAAAGCTCACTCAGGCTACACCTTCTCCAAGACATACTTGTTCAATCTTTTGGAAGACTGTGGATATTCAGTGCTCTTCTCCAACACCAGAGTTTAGAAGCATCAATTAATGATGATGGCATAGTGGTCAAGCTTGTTTCTCCTGGGGACACTCTTCCGGGGGTATTTGGGCTGCCTTCGGAGTCTAAGCACCTTGGACCACCAGCAGGTGGGTGACATGCGGATCTTTTTTTTTTTTTTTTGACTGTGGATGTCCTTCAGGACTGCCTTCTTGGCCTTTAATGCCTTTGCTTTAGCTTCAGTTTTGGGAGGGGCAGGGGCTTCCTTCTTTGCTTTTGGTGCCATCTTCATAGAAAAGGCAGAAGCATCAATTCTGTCATCTTTAGTCACTGTCCATCTCTCAGATACATAGGAAATGACCGAAAGGACCACGACTTGAATCAGGCACACTTTAGACTTCAAAACTAGTATCTCTGACCATCAATAATTTGGAGAGGTCCCCGACTACAGACTTTACTAGTCTAATATATTTCCTGATTTTCTGACTGCTGGTACCAGGTGTACCGATTGTGTATCCAAGTAAGATGAAGTCATTGACAGTTTCAAGCTTTTCTCTGTCATGATACTGCCTTTCGGTACAATGGCAAGGATTTCTGTTTTCCTGACACTGAGATGTAATCCATTTTGAAGACTACAGCGTTTAACCTTCTACAGCTAGTGTTTCAAGTTCTCTTCACTTTCGGCAAACAAGGGGGTGTCATCCGCATAACAAAGGTTTTTGATGAATCTTCCTCCAATCCTGATGCCACATTAGAGTAGAATATTCCTTACTCTTTTCCAAAACCATAAGAGCCAGTCCTTGGTAAAACACATCATGCTGGAAAAGGTAGAGGTTCAGAGAAAGAGAGGAGGATTCTCAACAAGATGATCAAGAGAGACTGTAAGAATGAGCTTGAATATTCCAGAGATGGTAAGGATGGTGTATGTTAGGGCAAGGTTCAGATCTGCTGTTCACAGTGGTGCTGCGAGCGCAAGTCGACTCAGTGGCAACTAGTAATAACTAATGACCTTGAGCATTTCCTCATGTGTTTGTTTGCAATATGAATCTACCTACAACATAGCTTTTCATTCTTGAACAAAAGAAAGAAAAGTAAAAGAGCATAGTTTGAAAGTTAACCATTTACCCAGCCGGACTTTTCACATAGTCTATTATTACAAATTATTACACAAACAATGACATGGAAATAATTAAAGTGCTGTTTACCTTTTACCAAGAAAATGAACAAGAATATTCTCCAGAAAAAAAAGGAATTGGCTACAAACTATAGAAATGAAGAGTGGTGTATATATAGAGATCTGAATGCTTTATTATGAGAACTATCTTTACTCTGACACAGTTAACAAGCAGCAGAGGTTTTGCTGTCATAAGAGTTCTTACCTTTTATAGCAAGGGAATAAATATGGTTATGCTTAAAACAGAAAACAAAAAGAGAATGTGGGATACACTTAAATGTTTAGGGGCAAAGAGAGAAATGACAATTCATATGGAAATACATGCTTAGGTTACTTTTACATGGTAGTTGACATAGGCAATATAAAAAGGAAACTAGCATTTTAAAGTCTAATAAAAAGTGTTAGAATTTTTGGCAAATTATGTTCTTAAGGTAATGTTTCTATATTGGGGAAAAATAATTTCCTCTTATGGTCTTAAGTTAATAAACACAATTTACTTAATAATAATATTACAGACTTAAATGTGGATTTCATCTTGACTGATTACAATACATAAACAGTAGAAAATAAATTTATGTATCTTAGAAGGAAATAAATGTAATAATAATGACTTTCACTTTAAAAAAATTAAAATACACTTCTATCAAATGAAAGAGAACTCCTCTATAGCCCAAAGAAATGCAATTTAGTTTGAAATTTTAATAGGTTACTAAAATAAAATGTATACTATAACTTAAAAAGCATTTTTAATATGTTCCAAATATACTTACTATTAAATATAAAGATTTTTAGCTTCTCTGGTACTTAAGAAAATATTTACAATAAAAAGCAGATTATAGAATATACATGTTCTATGTATAAAAATAAGTAATATATTTTATAGTCCAGACCAAAGGATCTTTTAAATTGGGCTTTACCCATGCAATTTTATTACGGTCCTAGCTCACGAGTATCCCAGGATACATACATGCATAGAGGAAATTGCTCAGTCATCTTGATTTAAAGCTCATACTGTCTCCTGAGGGCCTGTAACTCCTCTAACGTAAACTGGTTATTTGATGTGTTTAAAAGGTCATCAAATAGCTTTCCAATTTGCTCCTTTTGGCTTTTGTTTATCAGTGTCAACATCATCTAAAAAAAAGGTAAAATTGTATTCTATTAGCATAAATAACATTAAAGTTATAGCAACCCTAAGAAAAGTGATCAATGCCTACTAAAAATACGTTGTGCTACTCACCTTAAACCGCTCTGCTTTACTCAAATATAAAAGATGCTGGTACACTAAAGAGGGATCTTTATCAAGAAGACTATTTTTCAGAGAGTGAATGAGGAGGAGGAATATGTCTCCTTCAAGTTTGTTACTCAGCAACACTGGCAAATCTTTTGGCTCAGTGATAGTTAAAAGTTCTGCGCAGGCTTCTTTGTCTTTCTGAGTATTTATAGCATTTATAATTTGACCAAACTCATAAGCATTATTGGGCTTGCAGATCTGAAGCTTTTCACAGGGTTCCAGTGGCCCATTGCTGTCATTTCCTTTTTCAGAAGCATGGCAGTCTGCCGTGACCGTTGGTGAGGCTGTTCCAGTCATCTCTCCACCACCTTCATCGACCTTCATGAGGGGAAAAATTAAACTGTGAGGATAAGCAATAGTCACTGCCTGTATCAAGAGTTATATTCATCTAAACAGAACTTTAAAACTCAAGTTACATCACATTTCAGTCAAGCTCTAAGTCAAAAGTCTAAAATGCATAATAAATTCTAAAACTTGGAGTTTGTAATCAATTTTAAAGTATAAGAATCCAATTCAGAAAATAATTATTTTAAGAAAATTATATTAAAAATAAGATAATAAAACTTTACACTTTTATTATTTTTACAAATAAAGCTACTGGAAAAACAAATGACAGACCTACATAACTTTATCTCTTTTCCATGATATATTTTGTTCATTTCCTTACATTTAACATAGAGTCATTTTTTTTTTCAGTTCTCTTAAAAGAGTACTTTTTCCCTCCTTAAGGAGAAAAAAGCACTTCCTAAAACTTTCTTCACAGATTACCCTCATAGTCTTAGTGGAAATGTCAAACTAAAAGAGAGATGATACTGGCCCTCATGAATATTTATGAAGTCAGGAGCTGGCCGCCTTCAGTAATGGCAAAGTAAAAAAGCTATAGCAGAAGACATACAAGTTAGAATGGGACTGTCCTTGGGGTTGGGGAGAGACTGAGTAAGATGGGTTCAATAATGTATACTGCACTGAAACAGAGGAGGGAGAAAACTGTTTAAAAGAGATATATAACTAGGTATTTCTGTCATCACAGGAGACTAGAGCGAGGGCTGCATGGTGGAGGGGACCTGGGGGAGGGTTTGTAAAACAATGAAAGAATCTTTTCTTTTAATTTTCCATAATTTTTGGACTCATGTACTTATAACTTGTTAGTCAAATTTGTGTCTTCTAGGTTGCAACACCCCCATGATACATCTTCAAGGATATGTACATGTACGGCCAAGCACAATCAATAAGAGTGCATCTGAATTCCAAAATCAATCTCCATAATAGTCTATGTGTTTCCTACTGCCAAAGGGGCCCTTTAGAGTAGTGAGAGAAGATCTTCACCCTGAAACCCACAGCGTCCCTTTTCAGCAGGAAGTAGCTAAGAGAATACGCCGTCCCCTTTTCCTTATGACTCAGGGTGAAGTCTCTCTCAGGGAGGAGTGATAGGGAATGGCAAAGGATACACTGACAAAGAAGATTAATCAGAACTGGCTTTGACAAGCACTGTGGCATTTGGACAAGAACAAACTGGGAGGAGGGTAGAGAGAATAGTGCAACAATGAATGAGTGGAAGCCCAAAATCTCTGTAAATGTTTATGAAAATTAATAAAATATAATAAAAAAAAAGAAGACATACAAGTTATCTAAAATCACACAGGTGGGTTTGTTTCTGAGACAGCCCACAATATCTGGGAGCTCAGTCTTGTTTCAGAATGCTAAAAAGATCTGAGTCAATCTAGAAATGTGCAGAGGGTTGGGCTGTAAAAATAGCAACAGAGCAGAGCAGATTCTCAAGGTCTACCCAGAGGCAAGGCGTTCATAGTCACTGGCTTCCAGTTCAGTTTGGAAGGGAGGGAATGCAAATCCCAGGGAAGATGGTGGGTGGGGAGGATGGGCACAAACAAAACTTCTGTAAAACAAAACTCCAAATACCATTTATGGGTCCAAGCTGAGAAATACACTGCAAAGGAGTTCTGTCTTTAAAACGGATTCAAAATTTTCCACCAATTATCAGAATGCAAACATAACGTTTAAAAACTTTTGGAGAATTTATAGGAAATGATCTAATATGTATATGAACTCCTGTTACCATGCAATTGATTCTGATTCATAGTGGCCCCATAGTGACGAGAGAACTGCCCCATGGAGTTCCCAGGCTGTCTCCTTTACAGAAGTACACTGCCACATCTTTCCCCTGTGAGATCAAGATCCCCAAAAGAATGCACACCTATGTTTATTGCAGCTTTGTTCACAATAGCAAGGAGTTGGAAACAACCTAAGTGCCCATCAACAAACGAATGGCTAGAGAAGCTGT